TATTTTCTGTTTAGTAAACTTGTGAAATAGAGTTTCCATTTTAAGACCATTTTTCCCTCCACTGTATTTGAGTTGGGGTGAGTCAAGTCAGCTTCTTATTCCCTACCTGGTAGTTGGAGAAACAGCTGCCGGCAGTGGAGACAGCGATTGGTCCTGCAGCATGAGAGTTGCTCTCAGACAGTGAAGGACGGCGCCCCTTCGGTGTACCTGTGTGTCCTTGTCCTGCCTGCCTGCGTGGCTCTGCCCAGATGCTTCAGAGCCTCCCTGTGCCCAGAGAGTGCTTGACTCTAAACCTTCTGTAAGAGCTGCTTTGTCTCCCTCTTGGCCACTTAGTCTGTGGCTCAGTCGCTACTTGAAGCCCCCATTTAATTTTCTCTGGCTCTTACAGCTCTTGCAATTTCAGCACAGTCTCATCTCTCAGACCGCTGTCATCAAGGAGGATTGAAGGGATAACTGTGGGGTGAGCCGGTTACTGGAGCCATGTCTACTGCCACGTCAGCGTCTTGCTCGGCAAATATCAAGCCGTAAATTGGCTCCAGGGCTCGAGGTCTCATCAGCATCGGAAATCCATTGCTTCTAATCGGTTTGACCAAGTTGTGTAGAGCATGACTTCCATTAATGGGGATATGGAAGACAGATGGCCCAGGACAGCCCCCTCAGGGTTTCATGAGACCAAGAGAACCCTATGATGCAAAACACAGGACTTAGCAACTTTGATGCCTTCTGATAAATTCTTACCAGTGCTGCATCCCACCAAAGCTAGTTTATTTTGCTCCTCAAATTCATGATTTTTGTGTCAGTTACAAAGGGAATTTTGCTGATGATAGCTCTTTGAGTCCCACCATTCCATTTTATGCTAATACATCCCATTGTAGGACCCACCCCTGTCTTGTCTGTGTCCCCTTTGGCCCAATCCCCACTTGGTTCCTATGAAATAGGTCTGATGAATGAAAGGGCCCAAACAGACCAGGTAGTCCTGTCTGGCCCTGATGTCCATAAAAGGCTTAGGAATGGATTATGTAATTGTCCTTAATCTTGTTTCAGAAAGTCTGAAAACTCTGAATTGAGTACTGAAAGCTGAAGTAGGAATAAAGGAAATTAAATATCCTTTTATTTCTTTGGACTCAGGTCTGATGTATGAGATAATTAACCTATATTGAAATGCCAAGAATTTTATCTGAGCCAAGAAGAGGACAGCTGGACAGATTGTGACTTTGTAGTACACAGGCACTGAAACCGCACGACAGACGTGAAATAGCCATTGCCCAAGGCAGATGCACCTGAGCCTTTGACTTCTGTCGCCACGACGCAGACATCGGTTCTTATTTTTTTAGGGGAATATATGCAATTGTGACGACCCTGTTGTATCTTTTGGTGACCTAGCCTGTGAATTCAGGCTGCTATTGTGTTGCATTCTAAATGGTTACAACCTTGAAAAAGGTGTTTGGTGCCTTACTGGACTGGAGCCAGAGCCTGCTGGGATTAAATAAAGCAGATTCACACCAACTTCAACTTGCAGCTTTAGCGGGGGTGGGAGTGGTCACGGACTCCCAAAATGTGGGGCTTTGGACACCCCTACCCTTCGCCTGTACGTGTGTTGTTTTCCTCCTTTAAAGTCTTGATGAAAACTTGAAAATGGCGAAATCACTTTCTCTGAACATACACACATGAGCACCATTCTGTGTTAACACAGTGGGCTGTGTGTAATGTGAATACTAGCAACTGTTACGGCTCACAGGTTCTTCATGGTTATGGTGTTGATGTTGACATAACAGGCTGAGGAGTTAGCAGGTAAGTGTAGCCTGTGGGTAATGCCTTAGTATTATTTAAATAAAAGGTTTCTTGTTTATATTTAAAATGTTCATGAATGTTTGAAAGGAACAAAATTATCAGGGATGGTTCTTTTTGCCTGATGGGTCTCATTTTCACCCTTTTCTGTATAAAATCAAATGATGTCTTAAGGTTTTTTAAAATTTTTACTGTACAGTTTGTAAGTATCCAAATTTTAATAAAGTTTTGTAGATTATATAGTGGTCTCCCTTTTGTTTGGATCTCTTTATTTTCCGGTAATTGGCCGTTAACTCCTCAACTTTATCTTTCTTGTGAGATAGTTTTATGTGCCATTGGTTTCCCTTTTTTTTTTTTTTTCTTTTTAAAAGTTTTTGCCATAGGACATGTGCGCTTAACAGAGAGAGAGAGAGAAAGTGAGAAATCACCCCTCAGAGAGGGATGGCCATGCTGCAGTCCCTTTTCCAGGGCATGTACACACATGTGCCCAGCATGTCTTTCAAGCCACCGGGCCCAGGACTCAGACCCTCAATTAGTCATATGGGATCCAGTGCCTTAACTACCACACTACCTGCTGGACCCCCCTTTTTTTCTTAACCCCCCTCTCTATCCTGACTCTCTTGCTCTACTCCCATCCTTGGACTGGATGATTTCCCAGGATGCCAGATCTCTAAGGGATTCTTGCAGGAGTTGGTTGTACTGCGCTGTCTCATGGAAAAACAAGAGTATGTTATTCCTGGTCCAGGGAGCCACTCTGATTGTGTTCGAGCTTTTTTCCGTCGTTTTGGCATTAACTGTAGCTTTCTTTTTGTTTTCTCTGGGGTGGGTACTCTGATTGTGTTCGAGCTCTTTTCCGTTGTTTTGGCATTAAGTGTAGCTTTCTTTTTGTTTTCTCTGGGGTGGGGAGAAGTCATAGGGTTTCTGCAAGAGGTCTGTGTAGGGCAGAATAGGGAGCAGGATTGTAGGGAGCATTAAGGACCGTGGAATAAAACCTTCAGTTATGTCTAAGTCCAGCTTTTTCCTTTCATTTTCTTCTATGTATTGATTATTTTCTTTGCTCAGAATCTGATATGGCATTGTATTCTGTAACTGTCTTCCTTTTTTTTGGAGAGGTTTTTGCTATAGAGTGTGTGCGCTCACCAGAAAGACAGAGACAGAAAGCGAGAAATCACCCCCCAGGGGGGATGGCCACGCCACAATCCCTTCTCCTCCACTATCCTCTCGGGATCTTGGGCGAGCACGCACACACACGCACCTGGCGTGAGTTTAAGCCACCGGGTCCGACCCTCGAACTGTGGTCGACTTCGTGGGAGCCCAGCGACATAGCCATTAGGCCAATTGCTGGTCCCCCTGCCTTTCTCTCTTATCAGTTATTTAGACTACATGAAAACCATTGACCATTGTCTTTTTTTTTTTTTTTTTCTTTTTAAGTTTTTTGCTGTAGGACATATGTGTTTGCTGGAGAGAGAAAGTGAGAAATAACCTCCTGGGGGGATGGCCACACCACAATCCCATTACTTCCATTCTCCTCTTAGGATTTTAGGCACATCCACACATGCAAGTGTTTTTCTTTTTCTTTCTTTTAAATTTGCTGTAGGGCAGGTACACTCACCGGAAACAGAGAAGTAGAGAGTGAGAAAGCACCGCAGGGGAGATGACGTCACAATCACTTCTCCACTCGCAGGATAGTGAGCACCCATGCACTTGTGCCCAGCATGTTTTTTTTCTTTTTCTTTTTTTTTTTTGGAGAGATTTTCACTGTAGGGCGCGTGCGCTCGCCAGACAGACAGAGAGAGACATAGAGACAGAAAGTGAGAAATCACCCCCCAGGGGGGATGGTCACGTCGCAGTCCCTTCTCCTCCATTCTCCTCTTGGGATCTTGGGCACGCACGCACACACGCCCGGCGTGAGTTTTAAGCCACCGGGTCCGGGACACGAACCGCGGTCGACTACGTGGGAGTCCAGCGACATAGCCATTACGCTAACTGCTGGTTCCCTGCCCAGCATGTTTTTCAAGATGCCGAGTCTGGCATTGAAACTGCAGAGTCAACCATGTGGGATCCAGTTGCCTTAACCACCACCAAATTGGCCTCTGTTGTCCATTTCTTTTTAAATTTTCATTTTATTATTTTTAAAAACATTATTTCTAAATGATTTATTATTATTTTACTTTTACCAGAATGAGATGGAGAAAGGGAAAGTGAGAAAGCAAGCCACCAGGTCTGAGACTCGAACTGCAGTTGGTCATGTGGGAGTCCAGTCTTAATCCAGCATGCCACCAGCCAGCCGCATTGTCCCATTTTTTTAGAAAGGCAGAACATTGTCAAAAGTAAAGGAAAACAGACCATATGTAAATTTATGTAGATTAATGCACACTGATGACATCTTTTCTCCCCCTTCTATAACTATTCAATGCTACTAGGTAAATAGAAACAGGTGATCATTAATGGCTGAATTAATAATAAAAAAAAGCATAATTGCTAGGTGTGCTACATCACAGGGTTTTGGAGAAGACAAAAAAAAGATTGGGGTGTGTAGAGCAGTTCTCAGATTTTAACACGCAGAGGAGTCATCTGGACTCTCATTACAATGCAGTTTTTGGTTTTGTCGGTGAGCTGGTGACCAGGATTCTGCATTTTTAATAAGTTCCCACATGACTCAGATGCTGCTTGGCTCTGAGTGGCAAGGACGTAAAGCACTTAGCTTGTTGCCTGGCACATGTAAGTACTTGATGAATGTTACTCGCTGACAACAGATAACTTTGTAAGAGCCAAGAAGACCTCCCACCAAGCATCTTCCCTGCCATATTAGTTTTTATGGTAAAAACATCTTTCAAAAAATTAGCATCTGGGTTAATGAGTGGATAAGTTTAATCAGATTGCTACCTTCCCAACTTTGTCAGAAATCATCAAAGGAATTGGAGTCATTCTTCCTCCCTCCTCTTTGCTAGGTATTTTTTTTTTCCTTTTCTTTTTTTTTAGAGGTTTTTGCTATAGGGCGCGTGCGCTTGCCAGACAGAGAGAGACAGAAAACAAGACGTCACCCCCCAGGGGGGATGGCCATGCCACAATCCTTTCTCCTCCATTCTCCTCTCAGAATCTTGGGCACACACAGACACGTGCCCGGCATGAGTTTTAAGCCACCGGGTCTGGGGCGCGAACCGTGGTCGACTACTTGGGAGTCCAGCATATAGCCATTACGCTAACTGCTGGTCCCCTTTGCTAGGTTTTATTGATGTAGAATATATTTATTTTAAAAAACAGAGTGTGTGCACCTACCAGACAGGAAGAGGGAGAAAGCACACACATCCCCCCCCCATGGGGTGTGGTAACACTACAGTCTATTCTCCATTTCTCCATCATGTTGGCATGCAACATGCACCCGGTATGTTTTTCAAGCTGCCAGGGTTAACACTACAGTCTATGCTCCATTTCTCCATCATGTTGGCATGCAACGTGCACCCGGTATGTTTTTCAAGCTGCCAGGGTCAGGATTTGAACCGGGCAGTCCCATGTGCGATCTGGCTCCCTTAACCATTAGGCCACAGGGTTTATGCCCGAGACATGATTTATGTATAATGAAAGTTACTGGTTTGGGTGCTAGCAGGTGGCATGGTGAGTCTATGCTCCATTTCTCCATCATGTTGGCATGCAACGTGCACCCGGTATGTTTTTCAAGCTGCCAGGGTCAGGATTTGAACCGGGCAGTCCCATGTGCGATCTGGCTCCCTTAACCATTAGGCCACAGGGTTTATGCCCGAGACATGATTTATGTATAATGAAAGTTACTGGTTTGGGTGCTAGCAGGTGGCATGGTGATTAATGTGCTAGACTCCCACATGTCCAACAATGGTTCGAGTCTTGGACTTGCTCTCACACTTTCTCTCTCCTACTCTCATCAAATTGAAAAATAATAATAACAAATAAAAATAAATGAATAAATGTTTTTTTAAAAAGTCACTGATTTTAACTATACTTTTGCTAAGTTTTGACAAATAGAGACAGTTGTATAACCATCGCCAAATCTTAATACAGAACATTTCCTCTACCCAGCAAAATTCCCTCATGCCCCTTAGACTAGACATTTTAACTGAGGGAAAAAGAAGGTGATTTAGAAGTCAGAGTACAGGAGACAAATCAATAAGCTCCTTGTTTCAATTTTGTCTAGAAAACAAATCTACATTCCCTCATGCCTCCTCTCCTCACTCCAGGAATGCTTTGACAGATCTTGAACTCCCTGCTGTCTTGGATGTGTATTTCATACCTTGTTAATTTAAGGGGACCCATTTGTTCCATTTTGCCTGGAATTTCCCTGGTTTTAGCATTCAAATTCCCACCTCAAGGTGGATGGGAACCCACCTCAGTTTCCAGGCAGACCAAGTGGTCACCCTAGTTGAGTTGTTCCTACCATTTTTTGTTTGTTTGTTCTTATTTTTGTTAGTTTAGATTTTTATCACAGGGCTGTGCTCACCAGAGAGAGACAGAGGCAGAGAGAGGGCAAGTGAGAAGTAACCCCCTGGGGAGTGGCTATGCCATAATCCTTTCTCCTTCATTCTCCTCTCAGAACTTTGGGCATGCATGCACATGCACCCAGCATGTTTTTTAAGCTGCCGGGTCCAGGACTCAAACCACACAGTCAACCATGTGGGATCCAGTGCATTAACCACCATGCCACCTACTGGCCCTCTTGCCATTTTTTTTTAAATCTGAGGTGCCTTCTCCTTTTAGAGTCCTTTCTCTCATGCATACACATAGTAGGCACTCAGATGAGTGCATGGGTTGTCACGATGATAAATCCCAAGTGGCTGCAGATACCTGGCCTAAAGCGTGAGGCCTGGGTCTTGGTGCCAGCTCTGCCAGATTTGCGGCGGCATGACCCTGGGAAAGTGGTTTTCTCACTCTGGGTTCTGCTTCCTCCACTGGGAAACCGGCTCAGTCGCTTCTCCTCTGACACTGTGATAGCCCTCTGCCTGTACGTGGGCATATGTTTCAGTGTTGCCTCCAGTCATTTCTCTTTCTCTTTCTTTTTGCCTTGCCTCCCCCACCCTTCGAATATATATAGTAGATCAATAAGTTATGTAATGCAGGTTGATAATGGAACTGCTGATGGGCCAGGCTGATGCAGAGTGCTTCTGTGAGAGCAATACAGTTTGGACCTTGAACTAGGCAGCTGTGGCTGGGAGTTGGGGATCAAGTCTCTATCTTCAGCTAAGTGTCTGTAATTACCTAATTTGCTCTTTGTGCATGCCTGGGAAAGGATGATAGGCAAAGGAGCCTACTGTTCAGGAATTTTCCTGGGAGGATGAGGGGAGTACTGCAGAAAGTAGGATTTTGTAAGCCTCTTATCTATCAGAGGGAGCTATTTCCCACTGGGTAATGCTCGGAAAACAGCATCTCAGGGTCTTACTCACTACCCCAGTGCTGAAGAAGAATTAAAACGAGAAACATCAGAACCTAGGCTGTAAGCTAAGGCAGACAAGGGTTGGGAAGCTGTGTTCCGTGGCCCGTTGTGTCAGGTACTAACTGTGGAGCGACGGGCACATCGCATAACCTCTCTGAGCCTGGTCTTTGCCTTTAACTTTTCTCTGTAATGGTAAATCTACGTTGCCTGCCTTGTGGGGAGTGGGGGTGGCTACTCAGACAATATAGGTGAGGGTTCGGTGAAACTGGGGCACCTATACAAATGGGACATATTGCTAACAACTTTAATCTTCAGGTCTCTATGACTGGGTCTGGTTCATAGGGGGAGAGAAGTAGAAAAGAACTTGGGAGTTTTGTCTGCTTAGTCCTCCAAGTAATCTCATAACACCCCAACCCCCAAGTGGCACTAAGATAGGAAGGGAGGGTTTTAGGGAGGTAATTTTTATTTGTTAGGAAGACACCCCAGTTACCTTCTTCCTTGACAAAGTTCCTGACATCTCTTTGGAAAATCTTTTTCTTGACCATAAACCCTATTCCTCCTCTCATTTCCAAATGTTGGGGACGATGGAACAAGAACTCTCCTTGAGCCCCTCAGCGAAGGCCAGTCAGAGACCTTTTCCTACCTAGAAGGAGACAGCACTTCGCTGGGACCTCAGGCCTGTAAAGGGTTAAGTGAGCCACACCCTCCGGCAGGAACAGCCTCGGACTTTGTGCTGAGCAGCCACCTCGGGCCCCTCCTGGCTCCACTGGCACAGGGAGCCTGGGCTGGAGGAGGCAGCACAGAGGAAGGTCAGAGAGTGGACACTGGAAGAGGAGGGCTCCTGACACCATGGACAGCTCCTGTTAACGGAGGCACCTCTCCACCCCTGGGGGCCCTAGACTCCTGTGCGCCCTTCCTGTCAAGCTAGGATTTGATCCACGACTTTCCACTGAAATTCCACTGACGCTGACGTTACACCCTCGTTCCAGTTTCAGGTAAGTCCCCCCTTGACTGTCACTGCTCCTCTTTCACACCTTGAGGCAGGTCCGTTTCTTTGCCCCTTCCATAGCCCCAACCAATCACATTCCCACTCCCCTCAACTCCAAAAGCAAAGAAAACATCTTCTCCCAAGCCATCTCCTGCTTCTCACCCTTCCCTGACAAGTAACTTAAAAGACAGCTTTTTTGTTTGTTTGTTTGTTTTGAAATCTAGAAAATATGAGTTAGCCCCCAGGTCCTGGGGACACTGGAAGCATCTCTTGACTTGGTATATGTGCAGTGTTCAGAGCCCTTCCTGGCCCAGGGCTGTTATTATCTATACTTTTACTGCTTCCTCAGTTGTGTCCTTCTAGAATGTGACCAGCACTCTTTTTTTCTTGGAGCATGGGGAAAGCAGAACAAAGGGGGAAGGAAGCCTTCCCCCCTCCCTTG